GGTGCCCTTTGTGTGTACAAGGAACGTGCTCGTACGTGGCTTGAGCTGCTCAGACCTTGCCAAGCGCCACCCTTTTCTGCTGCGCTCCAGAGAGAGGGGCCGTGTTTGGGAGCTCTGCGTCCCGATGGAAGGGAGGGTCTCGGGGTGAGCCAGCACTGGTTATCGGCACCAGTAACCTCAGCCCTGTGCTCGGGAGAACTGTGAAAAGTTGCCTTAATAGGGTTTGTCGTGCTCCCTACGGGGAGAGTGTGCTGGGGTGCACTTCAGTACGTTATCGGCACCAGTAACCTCAGCCCTGTGCTCGGGAGAACTGTGAAAAGTTGCCTTAATAGGGTTTGTCTCTTCCCTACGGGGAGAGTGTGCTGGGGTGCGCTTCAGTACCTCAGTTTGGGAAGGTCTAGATGTATTTTCAGCAGATTAATGCTGAATTGTGCTGATAATACAAAACGCATTCTGTAGTTCGTAGACACGTTTCATGTTCCTCTGATCGTGCTCCATATCTGCAGAGTGTGTAACTCAGCAAAAACAAAGGAGGAGGTATATTTTTTATCACTTCGGTGAGTTAAACCAGCTTGTCCCAGCTGACAAAAGGAGGGGGGCAGATTGCACATCTAGATGCAAGACCAAGCAGAAAAGCCAATAATTAAATTAGCTCATTTGCCAGTAAATATGTGTCTTTGAGGAAAAAAGTTCAGTTCTTGTATTTTCTTGCTTTGCAAGATTGGCAAATCGGAATCTTTAGAAAATTAAGCCATAAGAAATGCTTATCTTAGATGAGAACAGACCTTTAAGCAAAACCAAAAACTAATGCTAGGGCTGTTTCTGCCTAAACTCCACAAGTGAGGCATATAAAAATAACCGTGTTGATATGTTAAGAAGTTCTGAAAAGGGTTAACTGGGTGAGTTAATTAGAAATGAGAATAAGAAACTGAAATGGTTCACAGGTTGTTCTTTACAAGTATCAGTTGTATACGTAGCGACTTTACTGTAATTTCTACACCAGTGTGCTTTTTCATTATTTAACTACGTGGATCGTGAGATTTCCTTGACGCTTGCCATTAAAAGAGTCAAGAGGCATCAGGAAAGGTGGCAGTTGGCCTTGGATGGCCCTCGGGCACGGTGCTGAGCGGGGCTGTGGTTCAGGTGCGTGTCCAGTGGCAGCAGCGGGTCCACCCTGGGGCACCCTGCGCTGAGTGGGGCGCGATGGTGACCGAGCTCTGGATTCGGTGCTTCGCAGTGTGATGGGCAATATTCGTAGTTAAGGCTGCTTGAGAATCACTTCACCAAAGAATGAGCGGTAGTGGTCACATCTGCTGTTCACAATAGAATTTGTTTTCTGGAGTGTTTGAATCTTGCTTTAGAGATGAATACATAAAAATAGATAGGCAGGGTCTTTTTCACACTTGTTTAACTTTTTTAATGCTTACAAGCATTATAAGTTTTACAGCCAGATATTTTCTGATTTCAGCACCTTCCTGTTTTATCTGTATACCAGCTTTTCTTTTATAAACGGTTCTGATAATTCCTAAACTTTCCCCTAAGTGAGAAGGTTGTCAGCCTTTCTTAATAAGGTTTCTGGCAACAGTATTCACACTTGATTTTTAATGCCTTTCGAAAGCCAAGCGTAATTGTACTGAGGTAGAATCTGTGAAGGAAGCAAGCAAGCAAGCGTTCAGTGTTTCAGAAAAATTAAAATCTTCCTGGCAGCACATCCTTAATGTCAGCACTAAAATGTATCATAATTGTAGTCATTATTCTAAGGTAGAACTGAGATAAACTTTATTTGTCCGTGAGATTTCTGACCAGAAGAAGAATGTAATGCAAGAATAGAACTGGGTAAGTTACAAACCTGTGTAGTAAATCAGTGCTTCTATGTTGGATGCGCAAAGACTGGAGCATTTGCTTTGAGCATCCTGACAAAGAGTGGCATAGTTTGTATGGAACACCTACAGGGCTGAAATGTGGGGTGATGTGACTGTACTGAACAGGAGGAAACTTGGGTGTCAGCTGCTGTTCCGGTCCACATTAACACCTCTTTGTATAAAATGTGTGTGCAAGAGAGAAAACAGAGACCCTATTGGAATACAGGTTTGTCTGGCATTTGTGGTATTCACTTGAATCCTGGGAAATGGCCTCAGAATGCACACACGAGTTGTGTCAGTGGAGATTCAAACTTGCTCAAAGCTTGCAGAAACCTAATTAACTGGTTAGCAGAGGAAGTTGCATAGCTGAAACAACACAGTCTATTAATATCCAAGCCAGCAAGCTTAAAGCTAGTTCAGTTATGTCTGCACAAACTGTAGCTGCACCTGTAAACTGCCTAGATCACATTTGAAGTGAAATTTATCATTCTTCTCTTACATTAGAACAAAAATGTTTATTTTAGAAAGGGTGTACAAAAAGCTGATTACACATGAGAATACAATGTGTTTTCATGCACGTGTGGATGGATCCAGTCCTGACAATATGCTGAAAGCGTGGAAGGACTCAGGACCTGTATTCTGAGAGTTCTGGGTGGAGCAGATGACTGCATCACTGTGTCAGCTTTTATTGGATTTATGTGTACATGAACATCCTTCAAGATCTAGTGTAATCGGCTTTTCCTAGTGGTATCAACATGAAGTGCTTAGTGTGCCTTGAAGGGTGATCAGGCTGCTCTGGGTCTTTACTCCCTGGCACCAGTCAGTAGCGTACCTGACTTGTAAAGTCCAAGTCCAAGGCAGCATCTTTCTCTTTGGAAGGATGTTAATTAATGCATATTTTCCATATCTGTAATCTGGGTAAGCAAGTGGCCAGTTACTCTGCATTGTTCAGTCTATTCATAGTTTTGCATGGAATTTACATACTAAAGCAGATCCTTTTGACTGAATTTGGATTGCTCATTGTTGAGTTTAGCCAGAGTTCTTAAGCTTCAACTATGAATATTTACTAATGTAAAAAGGAAAAAAAAAGTTTAAAAGTTACTACAATGTCATAAATTGTAAGACTTTTGGGTTCCTTTTTCTTCCTTTTTTCTTATTTTCTGAAGACGTGTTGTTGCCTGAAAGGCTTCATAGAATGAACTGTGACACTAGCGAGATGGCACTTCATTCATGTGTGGTGTATTATACGTGCGTTTGGTATGGTGTTTGTATTTTTTCAGTATGAAGATTAAGCGTATTTATAGAGTCTAGATGGTAATTTTGTGAGGAAGAAAACCTGATAGTGGTTAGGAAAGGAATGAGTGTAACAAGAAAAAAGTGATATGAGGAATGACAGAATGCAAAGAGAAAAGCCAGTGGATGGTGAGCAGTGGTTAACAGCACGCAGGAGACAAAAGCGGCTCTGTCTTCATTTCCAGGGAGTGGATGCTGTCGGGTGTGTAAAGCAGGTTTGGCACAGGTGCTCGTAATGAGCTTTGCTGTGCTTGCCAGGCTCATGAGTTCAGGTAACCTGGGTTGCTGGGGACCTCTCACTAGGGGGAAGGTGAAAGGAAAGGCCTGACATAGGTTCTTCCCTAAGCTTGTTTGGTGTATAGCAATCTGCTCAGGTCAGCGTGATTCCAGATACTGTAGTCCATAAATTAGAAAAAAGTAAAATATATATTTATTTTTGTGGCTTTTTGTGTAGGGAGTGAAGTAATCATTGATACTCAGGATGTCATTTAGACCTTTGAGTTATTTTGCTTCTGTGACCCCGGTCTGTGACTGCTGTGGCGTAGAGCTGGGGCCAGCGTTGCTTCAGAGGGGATGTGAGAGAACAGCGTTGGTCACAGCTGCTCACGCATAGGCTCTAAATCGTGTAGGAAATACCAATTTTGCTCCTTTATCTCTTTGTCAAGAATATCAGCTATACAGGCAAAATTTTTGCACTGTGTTTTGCATTCCACAAAAAGCTGCACTCTGCTCAGTAAACTGAGCATCAGTGAGTTTGACCTGTCCTTTCTTTGTCTGCTGAGGAGCTGCATCTTCAGTCCACTTGGGTTTTGTCTTAGAAGATGCACAAACAGCCCTTGCTTGGTACACAGCTGTTCTCAGCATTTGTGCTTTGCAGAAACCCAAAGGTTTTTAAAGTGTTGAAGGTAAAGAGAAGGTAGGTTTGTTTGCCTTTAATTTAAAAAAAAAAGGCAAACCAAATAAAAAGCCAGTGTTTGAACCTCACTGGAATGTAGCCTCTGTTCTGATTCATGAGGATTCCAAACAAAATGATAGATTCCTGGTTTTAAGTGTTATTTTTAATCTTAGTGTTCAGTGTTCTCAATTACTGGTTAGATCTTTCACACTAACAGTGTTGATAATCTTTTGATACAGGGTTGAGGGGAATTGATCAGGGAAGAGGATATAATGTAAATAGGAAAATAATGGGATATATACAGATATGTACAAATATATCTACAAAACCAATATAAAATCCTCCCCCAGTGACGATGATGTCACCAGAGGCTCTGGGAGCACTGGAAAAGTCGCAGTGTGGACCCAGCAGCAGTGGGAGCTGATGCAGGAACACAGGGCTCAGGATCAGAGGCAGCCGAAGCAGCAGGGTCTGCTGGGCCTTGGGCCATTGCAGGGGTGGAGAGGGAAGGAAGGGTCCAAGATGGAAGGGTCGAGACCCTCTGTGTGTGGGATGCAATACCTCGTTGGGCAGGTTTGAGTCTGCTCCGCCCCCGTAGGTGCAGACACAGCACCCATGGTGAGACAGTGCCCTTGAGATTATCACTTGCAGCAGCACATACTGGAAAAACATGCTGCTGGTTTCAGCAAGTTCAGCCACTTAGAAGAGACTGAGCTGGAAAGGAAAATCACTAAATAGAAAATTAGTTCTGTTTAGCTCAGACCAGGACAAATATGAATAAGCTGAATATGAATAAGCTTGCAGTTCCTACTTGGATGTTCAAATCATTGGGGGTTGTTTGTTTGTTTTCTTTGGCTTTTTTGTTTGTTTGGTTTTCGTGGTTTTATTTTGTTGTTGTTTTGGGTTTTTTGTTTTGTTTTTTGTTTTGTTTTATTTTTTTTCTAATCTAGGATGAAACAGGTGCCTATTTAATAGACAGAGACCCGACCTACTTTGGGCCAGTGCTGAACTATCTCAGACATGGGAAACTGGTAATTAACAAAGACCTAGCTGAAGAAGGTAAGAAGCTACTAAATCTCTTGTTTTCTTGTCACTTGCTTATTATTTTCACTGCTTTTGAGTCACCAAAAGTTTCTTACAAGTAGATGGTAAACCCTAATCGGCGTAGCATTTTGGTCTGTTTCAAGCGAAGCTGATAGGTGTCATGCAGTTACAGCATATGCTGTTATTTGAGTGTTCTGAATACGATTCCTGGTTTCACAACCCTCTTCCTCAGTTAGAACGTGAATATTCAAACATGAGGGGAGATGCCTTTTGTCATACAATCTTGTATCTTTCCTGTATGACTGTGTGAAATATTTGGGTTGAGTCCTCTTCAAGCACAAGAATACTGGCTGTGAAACACGCTTTAGAAGACATAAAGTGAAGAGTGAAGCTCTGGGATGTTCAGATGTGGAATATGCTCTTGAAGAGTGAATTCTGCTCCCAGCTTCTCCCTCCCTGTCCCTAATTCATATCCATTTTAAAGTAATGGAGGATTAATTTTAAGCCATATTGTACTAGAACTGTATTGATAAGGTGTTGAAGAAGTCGATCAAAGAGAAATACTCTAACAATATTAACATGTACGTTTTTAAACGCATATTGTGTGTAGAGAACAGGTAAGGCTTGAACGTGGGAGTGGGAGCAGTCTGTAGTATGTATCTTTAAGCTTTTGTTTCAGGATCTAAGGTCTCAAAGGATAGGAAGAAAAACTTTCTGCCCACTAGGAGCTGCAGAGCTTTTCAGTAGAACTATTTGAATTTCTCTTTCATATTCCAGCCTGAGGCAGGACCTAAGCTATGATGGTCCATCAATCTGCTAAGGAATGGCATTTGTGCTCCTTTTTTGTTGGTGGTGTTTGTTTGCTTGTTTCCTGCCCCTCATTCTGCATGTGAATGGCATCAGCTTTCTTTGGGTTTTTCTGAATGAGCTAAACTTTGAACTACATTTGCTTGAACGAAACCAAAATCATTAGGCTGGGAAATGAACTTTTCCTAGCACAAAATAAATAATTTTCTACTGCTGTAGAGAAGATAATCTTAGGAACTGGTTGGTGGTTTTGACATGGAATCTTATGTTACGCTCTCTTTCTGAAAAATATTCTCATACAGGTGTACTGGAAGAGGCTGAATTCTACAATATCACATCACTAATAAAACTGGTAAAGGACAAAATCAGAGAAAGAGACAGCAAAATCTCACAGGTGAGGCTGTTTTCTAGTGTGGTTTTGATTATTTGTTCTGTGGCGAGTAGTGGGTGGTTCTGTTTTGTTTCTTTAACTGTGCATTTCACCAGTAAGATGTGAATGGCTGCCTCCATCACTGGCTGAGCAAACCATTAGTACACAGAGATTAATATTCTTAACCCTCAGTACCTGCTAGTCTGCTTACAAAGGGCACAGGCATGTGGTTCCAGTTCTTGTTCAAAAACTGAAAACATTCTAAAGAATTGTTCAAAAATGTCTGGTAATAATAGGATTTGTCATAATGTAATTTTGGAAAATAGTTACTGTAGAAAACAGCTTTTGTAGGATGTGTTTTTCTCATATACATTTAAATACTCTGAATATGATAAGATTGCCTAACTACGATATAACTCCTGTTTATAAGGTGTGCTTATACAGCATTCATACAGGTGCTGTTTAGCTCTTGTCACATGCTTCTGTAGCAAAGTTAGTTTCTTTATTTGTAGTGCTCTGTAGTTGAGAAGACTCTGCCTCTTCTCATAGCAGCTCATAAATATTTCTTCTCGAAAGTGCACGTGAGAAACTGTGAAGTAAAGGTAGTGTTCAAGTTTGCTCTTTAACTCTGCTAATTCTGGCCTTCCCTGATAACTGAGTCTTCACGGAGATCTTGCAAACTCGTGTTGCCGGATCTCTCTTGAAGCCAGGTTGTGGGACAGCAGAGTTGCTCTGATAGCATTTTCTAAAGGGTTTCAGCAAAAATGGTCCTAGTTAGTCTGGATGGGAAACAAAGACGTTTTTCAGTATGGTCAGACATTCCTTAAAGTTAGGTAGGCCTCTGCAGAACCTCAACCTTGATATTGGATGATGTGGTTTGCTACCACTTGGAATGATAGGTAAGTCTTAAGATTATTTTGTTGTAACTGTTCAGTAGCATTTCTAGTCCCTGAAACATTCGTGTAGCACTGAATCTTCTCCAAGGGGATTCTGAACAGATGAGATTTCTTTATGAAAAAACAAAAAGGCAAGATGTTCAAGGTGGTGTTGCAACTTTAAACAAGTCACAAATGTGAATTCCATGCTGTACTGAGCATCTTATGTTTCTTCTTGAAGGTACCAGTCAAACACGTGTACAGAGTGCTGCAGTGCCAGGAAGAGGAACTCACTCAAATGGTTTCCACGATGTCTGATGGCTGGAAATTTGAACAGGTAAAAAACCCATCCAGGGTATAATTACAAAGCATTCAATTAAGTGAAAGAGGAGTGTAAAGTAAATTCTATGCATCTTTTTAAGTGCTGTCATTTTCAGAAATTGGATAAGACACACAGTTAAATTAAAATTTGATATTTGCATTCTTATTTGTCAGAGAACAAAAAACCTGTAGCTTTCCAGGAGACAAATTGTGCTGACTTTCTACAGAAACATCTACATCGTGTTTGAAATTTAGTTCTTTGGTGTCTACACACTAACATTTGAAGGGTGAATAAACCAAAATTTACAAGTTTATACGAATGGTAGCTCAGATACAAAGAGCTCTGGGTAATAGAGATGAGCTCTGGAGACAAATGTTTGTCAGGCCCAAACAATGGTTCTTCAGATGAAGGACTGATACACATGGAAGGGTGACCTTAACCAACATGGATGCGAAGCTGGATAGGCGTGAGCTACGTGAATGTTGTCGTTCTTTGCACTGCATAAAAATAGCTTTGTGTGTATACTCAAGAATACATTGTAAAATTTGAAGAAGAGCTTTCGTTATCCTCGCTAGTCTCTGTAAATAAGAATCTAATTGCATGGCCTCTTCATCTTTCATGTTCCGAACCTACCAGAATATTTAAACTGCGTTGGAGCAATGAATCTTTGAACTTTGGAGAGAGGCACAAGTGCTCAGCCGCCAACATCTTTTTCAGTGTCTGTTGCCAACTGTAGGAGAGATTGGAATAAGCACATGCCTTTTATCCTATGCGCTCTAATAGCACAACAAAGCAACATTTTTAAAAAGTTTGGCACACAAGGGTAGAAGAGGACGTTTGGTTTGTATTTGATGAAATGTGTAGGTGACAGCCATGATCGAGTAAACTGCATCAGCACAGAGGAAGATTCTTGGGCTTCAGTTCTCTGGCTCGAATATTACCGGGTCTGCTTGGCTTGCCAGAAGCTGAACGTGGTTTAAGTTCCTGAAAAAAGCTCTCACTTAACGCATGTGGCTGTTTTTGACCAGTGCATTGACAAAGTTTTTTTAACATTCTTTGTCATGTGAGCTTTCATTATGAATAGAGATTCTTTACTTCTTAACAAATTAAATTTTACCTGTCCTAAGGCCTTGTATTCTTTGGGGATATTGTATCTGGGAGGGATACTGCTTTGACAGCACAACTGCTGAAAGAACGGTTATAATCTCTTTCAGAATTTAGAACTGGAAAACTCCAGTGGTTATCTTGAAAGCTACATCCTTGTTTCATCCAGCTTTCTCCCTCCTTCCTCCCCACCACGTTGCTCTCTCTTGGACGCAGTTTGCAGCAGACAACACAGCAGCTCCATGGTCTCACAGTGCCCGGCCTCCGACTAGGCCTCTGACCAGGCCTTTCTCTCCTCTGTTTTTTTTGCAGAGCTGCGTTTAGCAAACATCATTCACTTTAAACATGATTACAATATTCTGTATAATCTAAACAATTTAAATGTTAAGATTTGAGAGCACTGTAGCATTTCTGTAATTTTTTATCTTTTCTAAACCTGTGTTGCTCAGCAGCACGCTTCCTTCAGAAGCAGTCTTTGGGGTGACACCTGCCACGCTTTGTACACGTTATCATTGGTGGGATAGAAATAATTGGCTTTTTCAGAGGAGTAATTTTCCTGTGGGTTGAGAGTCCTTGTGGTCTGTGCCCCATATAACATATTTAAGTGGCTATTTTTCATAAAGAATATTTATTTCCCCTTAGCACTTAAAAATTTTCTTGTAAAATACAATTGGATGTGGTGATTAAGTAGGAGTGGAAGGTGTTAAACTTCTGGTGTGCTTTCACAGGAGTATTTCTTTTTCAAAGAATACGAGTGGAAAGCACTGCTAGAATACTGCAGTTATACATCAGTCCCAGTCCAAAAACTACCACCAATAGTGCTGCCCCACTTCAGTGATTTCAGTGGGTCATTTTGTAGGTGATTTTTAGCTTCAATTATTACCTCCTCAGACAATCAGGAAAAAAATATTTTGGCAATACTGCATAATGAGAAACTTTGAACTATACAGAATTGCTACATACAAGGGCTTTAGAGAGCAGTGGTGTGTCGGTCATGTAAATTTTAATGATTAATGTAAGCTGAGTCTTGTCACCATAATGCTGTCTTAAATACCTTCACTGTATGAGAAGGGCGGTATTTAGCTGCTATCTTCAAAATTATTCACAAAACAATAGCAGGATAAAAATAAATTTACTATTCATGAGCCTTCTCATCAGTAGTAATCTCCAGTTTACTTGGAATAGGCAGTTGTTGTCTAGTTCTTCACACTTAATTTAAAGCTCTAATCTTTCTGAAGTGCACTGACAGTCTATGCTTAAATTTAAATGGGCTAGAAATTGCCATGTGTTATTAAAATATTTTTTTGTAATAACAAGTTGAGAAATTTAGCTGAGATCGTTAACTCCTGAATTACTAGATGCTTGGCAAGTGCGAGCAGAGTATCTTTGTAATTATTTTTATGGGAACAAGACAATTTTTTCCTATCTAGTTATTTTCTTGGATCTCCTGTAAATTACCACTTACAAAGTGGTAGAGTACTCAACATTTTTCCATGTAGTTGACTTAATGTGTTTCCGTAGCTGTATTTTGTTTATCAGTATCTGGAACAAGATGAAGCTCTGTCCATACCCAGGCTTGATCTATCGCTTTATGTAACACCTTCCAGCCTTACATCCACGTTAACTTCTGCACTCGCAAGGATGTCAGGAAAATGACCCTGGCTGTCATAATGCACCAAACTCTGTTTATGTTTTTCAGAGTAGTTGGCTACACCACATTGAAATGGAGAGTTTTCTGACTTACTATCAGTAACTCTTAACTTCCCATGAAATTACAAAGGGTTTTACAACTGCCTCTATAAAATTTATGTATGTTGAAATGAAAGTTGTAGCTTGATAGCCACCTGTTCTAGTGGCAGGTAAATGTAACCTGAACGCCTGAGCTCGTCTGTTATTTGTACGATTTGGATAATGGTATGTGCTTCAGCTTTACAAAGGTTTCTTTTTGTGTTTTGCTCTGATTGGTTATTTCAGCTTGTCAGTATAGGTTCCCAGTACGGCTGTGGCCGGGCCCAGCAGTCAGAGTTTCTGCTGATAGTGTCACGGGAAGTGAAAGGGGAAGAGAGATGCTTCCAGAAATGCTGCAGTGAGGTGTGTCACACCATTCTTTTTGCCCTCACACCAATATGCTTGGCCTCCTTGCATTTCTGCTGCTTTCAAATCATTCCACTTTATTCCTGGATGTACAGCACATAGTAATTTGTGTGTATTTGTGACTGGCTTTTTTTTATATTCGCAGTATTTCATTATACATTATGAATGTTCATATTGTAAAAATAATAAAAAAGCAAACATAAACCCCCTAGTTATTTAAAGATTTTTCTTAAGAAGAGTTCTTACCTTCTCAATAGGTAACTTCTTTTCCTTAAATCTTCCTCCAAAGTTAACAGCCTTTGATCCATACTTGATAAGTTAAAGCGGTACAATTTAAACATTGGGAGCCCTGTAAATAAAGCTTTGGGTTCGCTGGGTTCAGAAAGGGGCATTTCTGTGTTAATCATTGATCCAATTTGAGTGTATTTCATCCACCTAATAGCTAGTTAAGTTCTGGGTTCAAACCTTTTATTTCTGCTAGCTCAGAACTTAACTATTGTTTTTTAAGGTGGATGAAATATATTCAAACTGGAACAAGAAGTAACAGAATTATCCAGTAATAAAATATGGAGGAGGGAGGGGAGAACAAAACCAGCAGTTTTAAATCTTTTCTCAAGTGGAAAGAAAATCCTGTGGTTTTGGGGGACATGATTTTGTTGTTGTTTTGGTTTTTTTCTCCCCCTTGGGAAATTTTCTTGGAACCCAAATGAAGAATCATAGCTTCACTCATTGGCTTTTTAGGCTGTCTCATCCTTCCTGCTCCCCTCACCCTCGGGTCGCTGCTTTTTTAATTGCTGTGTTACTTCCCAGTGTTCAAGAGTTTGGAACCGAGTAGGAAATGTGGCGTGCTGTTAAAGCTGCGTGGGGCACAGGCAGCGTGATGTTATTTGTGTGTTCATGTCCTAGAGAGCTTGAAGGAAAATTTAATACAATAAAATGGAGGTCGGGGGAAGGCTGTGAAGAAATGAAGGCAGGCATAAAACTTTTTTTAAAAAAAATCAGGACGGGAATGAATTTTCCTTACTCTTAGATTTGAAATCTGACAATTGCATTAAGAGACCCGAAATAAATATGCTTGCGGTCCTGGTGTCAGTTATCCGTGCGGAGTATAACGGCAGATGTGTGTGTTTCTTTACAGCCTTTTGCAAATCCTTTGAGAATGCAGGAGAATGAGCGCATTATAACTCTAAAAGGCTTGGAGGCCATTCTTACATTCGTACAACTTGGTTGTGCACAAAAAATTGAGGGAGGACTTTCTTTTATTCTGTCAACTGTTAGTTAGCAGAATTAAAAAAAGACCAGCATCCCAACACGAGCTTTCTAGCATGCAACTTCACCACGTCTGAAATAGAAGCAGTAATATTCAAAGTATAAGAATATTTAAAATAGAATTTGAGAATAGACCATACAGAAAAAGAAGGAAATTGGTAATCATAGAAGAGATAGTTAGTATGAGTAACTCCAGTGGGAAGCAGAGAAAGACAGGGATGCTGTTGGTGCAAGCTGGAGTGGTTGTCTGTGATGGCAAACAATGATCCTGTCACAGAGCTGCAGACTTAGGAAGAGTTCTTCAGAAAGTTACTTCATGTCCCTGAACTCATTCTTAAATCTTTCTTTTTTGAAAACAGGCCTGACCATAGGTAGGCATCAGATAGTCTCTGGTTGTTTCTTTTTTTTTAACTTTGCACTTTCCGATTGTCATCTTTTACCTTACTTAAAAGTTCAGGTTTTATGAGACAGGAACTTTCCTGTTGTTATTTCTTTGACTTTTCAGGAAAATCCTGAATTATGTTGGCACATCAAGCAAATATCTGTGTTTCTGTATTTCATGAGAACCTACCTGTGTGCAGCTTTGGGCTCCCAACACCAGAAGCCATGGAGCTGTCGGAGCTGGTCCAGAGGAGGCCGCGGAGAAGCTGAGGGGCTGGAGCACCTCTGCTATGGGGACAGGCTGGGAGATTTGGGGTTGTTCAGCCTGGAGAAAAGAAGGCTCCGGGGGGACCTTATTGTGTCCTTGCGACCCTCCAGAACCTGAAGGGGCTACAGGAAAGCTGGGGAGAGACTGTTTACAAGGGCAGGTAGCAATAGAACGAGGGGAAATGGCTTTAAACTGGAAGACGGTAGGTTCAGGCTGGATATTAGACAGAAATCCTCCCTGTGAGGTGGTGAGGCCCTGGCCCAGGTTGCTGTGGGTGCCCCCTCCGTGGCAGTGCCAAAAGGCCAGGTTGGACAGGGCCTGGAGCAGCCTGGGCTGGGGGAGGTGTCCCCCCATGGCAGGGGTGGGACTGGGGGGGTTTGGGGTCCCTTCAACCCAAACCAGTCTTAATAATTAATTAATTAATGATATTAATACTTTCCATTCTTGCCTTTTTTAGTTACATCTGACAGTTTACTTGTGTCAGTACTCTGACATATTCCATGCAAACAGTGTTCTAACAAATTTTCTGTGATAAGTAACATTGGCATTTTCCTATGCTCGGTTACAACACTGGGGCTTACAGGAAAGCTCAAGCAGGATCACGATGCTTTAGGTAGGAGGGTAATGAAACAAGTCATAGAAGGAAAAAAAATGAGGAAAAATACGTACATGCATTTATATGTATATATAAATAATCATTCAAATCTATGAAATTCAGAGTTTCAAAATGTTCTTTTTTCTCTTCCTTAAGTTCTTGGTCATTAAAGCTCTGTCTGCTGTTTAAGCCCTGTGAGCCAAGGAGAGTTTGTCCTTTCAGAAAGGTTGAGAAACCATAGTCTGAATAATCTGAAATCCTTTTCCTATGCACTGTAACACATGTTCTGCAGACCTCAGATTACTCAGATTATTTTATCTTTTGTTTTTTTTGGGAGGGGTTGGGGGTGGTGTGGACTGACACGGGGTGGGGGAATTCAACATTTCCTTTGAGTTTATCTGCATCCTTCTTAAAGTGTTGCCAGCAACACTGGGAACGGTGACTTTTGGAATACAAGTGCTGAAATACTGCTTTATTTCTGATCGTACTCTCTGACACAACAGTTCAGTTCTACTCTGCAATAATTTTCCATTGCTTCTTTTTCTGCCATCACCTTTGTTGTTGGTGATGCGTCTCAAAAAGCTATGATGAAGTTTCTAGCATGGTATTGATGCTATCCAAACAATGCATTCTTAGTTGCACACATATGGAACTGCTTACATGAGCATCATGTGTTGGAGTTTTGAAGAACTTGTGTTTAATGTTGCAAAAGTGATTTTTATCTTGAAATGCACCAGCTGATTAATAATGGCAAAAAGTGATCCAGGTGTTTTGCAGTCAGCTAAGTCAGTAGTCCTATCCAACTGGCTAATAAGTAGTCAGCCACGTCCTCTAAACAGACTGAAGTGCAAAAGGTGAACTGATTTGGACTACGAAGCATTAGTGGGGGGTGTAAGTAGCTATCGACTGAGGACCTGTAAGCCTTGTTGAGCCAGGGTTGATGATTTGCCTGGTGTTTGGGTCTTGTGTGATACCTGCTTTTAGAGAGGTCATTTATTTATTTTGAGTGTTTTTCCTTCCGGTCAGTGTTATCATAGCTTATCTGCTATCACGTTCTTGCTGTTTTGCAAGAACAGCAGCAGACTTTACTAAACCAAATCATACTCTTGAATTTTATTCTTCAGATTTCTCTTCAGAGAAGGGGAATTAATGCGTGACTTTATTTAAACATGTATTCAACTTCTTGAGTGCTTTCTAACCTTTAAGTGGCTTAAAAGTACTGTTTAAAATAGTACATTTTACCTCAATAATTGAAGCAGTTACTGTATTTGTATTATGTGGTTTCTAATTGCTATATAATATATGGGATAAACAACAGACTTAGAGCCAACTTAAGTGCTTTTTTCCCTGAAAAATTGTGCATAATATTTTTTGCTCTATATATGAATTAAGTCTGGGTTGATTTTTCCAGCTTTTCAGCGGACTTTCTCACTCCATTTTGTGCAGCTAAGCAACAGGTTATTGTATGGGTTTTGTGATTCTGTATTACACAAGTACGTTATGGTGCAGACTGCAGAGTATCCATTGTGAAAGATTAGCTGACTTAATGTCTCAAGTTAAGTGGTGCCTCTGTATTCCGATGAGTATGTATCAGTGCTTGTAAAAAACCTGGGGTTTTGTAACTTTGTTACATGGTTTTGGTGGAAAAAATGTCCTTATCACGTTCATTTTTTATCAGCCGCTGTTCATTACTGACTATGTTTGTATTTTGCAGAATTAGAGAGATGTTAGGAGCGGAGGAGGGACAGAAAGGTTTCTGGTGATCACACCCAGACAGTGTAGTTGAAGTCGGCAGCTCCAGAGTGCTGAGTTTTGATTGCCAGAACTGTTCATCGGAGGTTGAGCCTCATTTGCTGTGGTACCATCAGGGTCCAAAACCTTTGCATCGCGTAGGCCTGGCATTGAGCCGATTCCTCGTGCAGACGCGGTGCCTGCTGCTGGCTGTGCACATGGGCTCTCTGTGGAGGCTCCTGCTTGGCCGTCTTACCGCCCTGCTGGGACATCCGAGCATCTCGCTCCTCTCTCTCCTTATAAACGCAACGAGGCCCTTTTTTCTCCTGGCAGTGCTATAAGGAAGCTGCGTTTAGCCTTGGTCTACGTTCCACTTTTGCTGGGGAATAATCGTATCCCTCAAATACAGATTCTGGACCAAGATTTCATCTTGTCTGCATCTTCCCTGTTTTAACAAGGCTTTTGCTCTCTGTGGTGCTCTGTTAGACTAGGGGCAGTGTGCAGTTTGCTTTTAGGTAGATATCTATGGTGTTTCAAGTGCTGCTGCTCTAAAAAACAAGTCAAACCTTTTCTGTGGGCACCTTAATGATATAATAGAGGTTGGGGGATAGGACAGCCTTATCACATGTGTGTGGGGATTTGGAAGGTAGCTTTAATATACTTTTGGTAATGACCTTTAAAGTAAATGAACCAGCTACATCTGAAATGATCCTGGCTTGGAAAGGCAGGCTTTGTAAAGCTTCTAGCATTAGGTAAGTGTGCCGTATGTAAGGTAAAACAAGTTACGGGAAATTTCTGCCATTTGATAAATATGCTGCATACGAGGTAGTGCTGACGTTGAGTATGCCCTTCTTTCTCAGTAAGCTGCCATTTATCATTCAATATCTTGACTTGTAGAAGCTTGTAAATATGTCATATTTCATTATACATGGCTTCTGCTTGTAGTGCTTCCCTAATGAACTTCCTTGTAGCAGTACATACGATTTTCAAATGTTAATCCTGGTGTCCCACCACGCTGTGTCTTGGTGTTTTCCAGTCAAATGCAAATTTTGTCTTTGTCTACTCGAAATAAGTTTTAATAGAAATACCGTTATTCTGTAAGTAAAGGGGTGGGTATCCCTTCACGCTAAAGTGCTTCCTGCATGCGGCCATTTACATGTTAAGTCATGCCACACTGAGATACCACACACAGACTCTTTAAAAATTAACTTTGGAGGATGGGAAAGTTTCCAGTAAATAACAGAAACAGGGAACAGGCTACTTCTGCGCTGGCCTGCCTCTGTAGCCTTTTCTTTCACAGTATGTTCATAGCTGTAAATCATTAATTCTGTAAATGCTTATAAAGAAAAGCTATGTTTAACCTATCATCAGAGTGTCAGTGTATTTGTCAGCATCAAAACATATTTGCATTGGAGAATCATGCTCCAGGCACAGCCAGCAGTCTGAAGAGTGAGGAGTGTCTGTACTAGTGATGGGAATTTATGGAATTTGTTTGTGTGGAAATACAGTTGACCATTTCTGTTTTGTTTTTTTCCATCTTTCAGCTGGTCAGTATTGGTTCTTCCTATAACTATGGCAATGAAGATCAGGCTGAATTTCTGTGTGTTGTCTCAAAGGAACTGCATAACACTCCTTATGGCACAACCAGCGAACCCAGTGAAAAAGCAAAGGTACGTCACTAGACACCGGACTAAAGCAATGGTGTTGAATTGGGTGGGCTTCCCTAAGTCGTGCTAGGCCTACCTCTGCTCAGGACCATTATTTAATTGCCTTTTTTCCCCCCTCACTCATGACTAATAGTGGTTCCCTGTCGATTGCAAGTGAGACTGTAAATGGTGCAGTCAGCGTGCATTTTTTATACCTAATGGGTTCTTTAAATGCAATACTCTGTACTGTTTCTGATACCTGGCCTGGTTTTTTTGAGTATTGGCAGATATTTGTTGTTTACAGTTGAGAATCCAGAGTTTTCTCTTACACAATTGAATGCTTCCTTATTCTGCCCCTGGTTCAGTTGAAAACAGTTTTTCTTACCTGAGTTCAACTGAAGGAGTCGTACTGCCAAGAGTGGAGATTGTAGCATCTCTCTGAAAAAAACATACTCCTGCAATGTGTTATAAAATGAAGGTGTTTGTTAGCTTAATATTTCCAGGTTTCTACCTAGTTCTCTTTACCTCCTGTAACCAGCTCTACAAAAAGATTGTAATGGGCACAATATCTTAGCATTTTACTCTGTTGTCTTTCAGAGTTTGTAAAAGGAAAAATGTAAAAACGCAACTGAATAGTAATAAGGCAGGCCAGTTACGTATATAAGGGTATTCTTCTCTTCCACGCATGTTGAACAGTTTTTATCATTGTATTGTTGCTTTGTGTGAGGAGGTGACTGCAGGCAAACTGAATGCTTCTGTAGTTGGCTTAAAAGCCTTTCATTTAGTGTATGTAGGTGGGAAGTGGTTGGTTAAACATCAAAGGTTGCTTTTTCAAGAATCACCGTCAAACAAATTAATTTTGGAATAATAATGCTAATTATTGCCAATCAGTCTTGGCACTGAGACCTCAGATAAAACTGCAACACTTTCTGTGCCTTGTAACTTAATTATGCATCTACACATATGGAGACATTGTTGTAAAGTGCACTATAAAATTACTCCAAGCTTTTGTGTTGGATTCTTAGTGAAATTACTGATTTTGCCACTGTTGAGATAAAACTTCCAAAGAGTTGGAAGGGATTAATGTATTCAAGGGTAAACCGTGAACCTGGGTAAGCCACGGCTCACTCCTTCCAAAACCCTGGTCAAGGTCTGCTTTTGCCAGGATGCTTCAGGTAAACCTAGAAGTTGACAAGCTAAAAAGGTGCGTGGTAGTACTTTAGGGCTGTGATATGTACCTGAAATAAAACGTGGGACCATAGAACCTAATCACCGTCTTCATGAGGAATGGTGGTACCTCTTCAGGGAACTCCAGAAGGTGCCAGAGTTACGCTGCATCCTTCACGTAAAAGAAAATGTGGAAGATCAAACCATTAAAGCCTAAGTACAAAAGCCAGTTCAGACTGCTGTATGACTGCAAATTCGGTAGCTCTGAGAGAAGTTAAATCTTAAACCTCTCCATTTAAGTGCTTCTTGGTCATTGCTTCAGAGAAGAGAGCAGGGCATAGTTTGACGAGGGAGATGGATGAGAATAACTGTTAATTTTGGTTGGAGATACCAACATTCACTCCTTTCGTCCTGGAAGACTTGAGCTGTTGCTAACAATTAATGGCAATACTTGAAGAATATTTTTTTATATATTGTGTTCCTAATAGATCAGTTATTTCTTATAGGTATATGTTGTGCCTGGGGAAAAAAAAGTTATTCTCTTTCTGTTTGAGAGGTTTCTGACAGCTGTGCTCAGGAATTGTGGCTGGACCTCAGTAGTTCCCTCGTAACCTGCATTAATCCTCTAGTCTGCAGTTTGTTCATTACTGTCTGAGTTGGCCTTCGTGAAGTGCATGTGATTGAAATTCTGGTATGCAGTGATACATACAGAATAAAGTGCTCATGTACTGGGACTGACTTTTAGAACCTTGAGAAAGTTGTCTTTTACAGCAGGTTGGGTTAGAGAAAACAAAAAACTGCTAGTATGTAAATTTCATTGACACGCACTTCAATTGTAATTAATAGTACTGGACCTCCAGAACAGGAAAAAGCATTTTCTGATGGCCCATCTGGTCAAGCTTCACCTTCATTCCTTCTCAGAGACTTTTTTTCTTGGGTTTTCTTTTTATGGAAAACAGTTTACATAGTAAGTTAACAGTTGACTTCCATGTAACCTTCTAATACACCTAAGCGAAGGAGTTTAACAGCGTTGGAGACTTTGACTTAAATGGTTCCAGTGGCTTTTATTGGTCGCTGTGGCACTACCGAAAGATAACCTCTGTTCCCACGAGCGTTATTCTCTTTCATACCACTTTACTGACCTGTCATTCTTGGGAAAAATAATCAAAGCTTGTTGATAATGTTTGCATCCAAAGTTAGATTGTCAAATGCTGTCCTTTCCCATCCATGGTGAAGAGTGCACTGAATTAAGGTACCAGCTTCACAGTTTTATTTAAATATTCTCTATACTTATGGTCCCTATTGTTATGTTGCATGGCTCTATTGGCTTCTGTCTGCTGACTTTAGGACATTTGAAAAGAGAAGTTTTTGTGAAATCTGCACTGTTCCTCCACGCAGTTGTCTGCTGTCATACTTTCTTACAGGGAATGGGGGTCCCAGGTAAAAGTAAATAAATGTCATTCCTAGATGTTTCAGGTGTAAGTGGACTGTACTTTGTTGCTGTCCTGGCTTCCCTGGGATGGAGTCATAAAATGAATTTTCTGTTCAGGAAAGCTGCATTTTTGAGAAGACGACAGCACTCAATGTAGTGGGGACAAAGTTGGTAAGATGTTGTTGTTGTGGTCTGTGGGCAGCTCTGGTGTGCGGGTTGCCACAGTGATCAAAGTCTCCAGCAGTTTCACGTTAACCAGGTGCAGGAGCCAGGAGGGGCAGAAGCCAGGGCTGTATGGCCCGAGCTGGCCAACAGGAGTCTTTGATACCAGAAACCTCCCGCTTGCTATAAGCTGGGAGTTTGCTGCGGGCAGCCCTCCTTCCTCAATGGCTGTGGTCCCTGCAGGCTCTCGCCCAGCATTGTGCTCCCAAGGCCTGTTCCTCCACTGGTCGCAACCACTCTATCAACTGAGTATAACTCTGTGTACTTTAATATTGATATTAACACTGGGTTTTATTATTATGATGATTTTATTAAATCTGTTTCTATTTCAACCCAGGGATCTCCCTTCCTTTTCCTGATTCCCCTCCCCAAGTGGGGAGGAGTCATCGGGTGACAGAACCGCTGCCCAAATGGCGGCAGTTGCAGCTCTGACTCACTTGCAATTTCTTCTTTTCCCTTCCTTTCTCTATACTTGCTGCATGCTGCATGCCACTCAGAGTGAGGATGAAGAGACGGATTACGATATGAATGACTCTGATTAAGTGTAAATGTCATGGTGAGCACCAGCTGCACTAGGATCTTACCCTGCGCTTTCGTGCCCATCCAGTTCCTCCCCCACTAGTGCTGTCCTTTGGCTAGTCCTGGTGGTGTGTGTGTTTGTGGTTATAGCTGTGGCATGGTTAGCAAAGAGAGAATTCCTCTTCTGGACATTGCTTCTTTGACAGAATAATTAGTGTTGCTGTTGTAAGCTGTATGGTGGTCGGTTCCTTTCAAGCTTCGCTTTCAGTTCCTTTCAAGTTCCTCATGTAGATTCTAGGGTTGGAATTGCTTTTGATTTTTATTTTCTGTGCAGCAGCTTTTCTGTCAAATGTTTTTTATGTCTACAGGAAACATTTTCAGTAAATGTCTAACTTGGCAATAAAGTAGCAAACTTGACTGGCATGCACCGTAGTCAAAAGGTGGTATTATCTGTTAATTTTGAAACTAACAATTTTTGAATCAAGACAAATGAAAGTAAATAGTGTCATCTCAGTGCTACTGTTATTTTTATCACTGAGAACAACTCTCTCCAGGGAGAGATCAGGTCCTTTCCACTGCAGTTCGGCGTCTCATTGAAGATCGAGGCACTTTAAAAGTCACAAGTAGAAGAACACAAAAGCTGCATCAGAAATAACAACTTTTGCAGCCTTTTCCTAATGTGTCTGCAAGCACTGACCATATTTATTCTGCTATCCAATTTCTATAAAATAACTTACTGTTGAATATTCAGTGATACAGTGTAGTAGTCACTTGAGCCTGTATAAGCTGAAGATATTTATCGCTGCATGAGACTGAACTCCACCATCTCACCTACACACCTGAACCTGTCAGCTGTAAGCAGCCTTGGGGTGTTGCTCCTGCATGGCTGGAGAAGAACCTACATTATTTTCTTAACTCATGCTAACAGAAACTACTGCTGAGGTCTTTTGCCAAGTGTTCAGGAATGGCTGCAAGGAATGGATCAAATCTGAGGTTTCATTGAAAAAAAATAAACTGGCACTGTGCTGGAATTGAAGGCAAGATTCATAAACTGCCTGAGAGACAAACAGCCCTTAAAACGCTATTCTATCTGCAGCAGATTTATTTTGAGCGGGAGGAAATACTTCCCACATTCTGCTTCCCTAAGAAGCAGCCACACTCGGGCCCCTAGGATATGAGAGTTCATTCAGCATTGTTTAGAGTCTGTAAGTCAACTTCAGATCTGCTGCACCTGGAGGAAAAAAACAGAAACATGAAAAGAAAGAAAATCCTGAACACAGGAGATCTGCACCAGGGTCAGGACGGTCCCCATATCAGCACAGAGTGGATGATGAGTGCTGCAGAGGAGGAACTGGGGATACGAGTGGGTGAAAAATCAGATACGAGCCAACGACGTGCACTGGCAGCCAGAAACCCAATTCAGTGGGGCTGCATCAAAAGCAGTGTGGCCAGTGGAGGGGGAGGATTCTCCCACCCTGCTCTTAGAGACCCTACCCGCAGCACCACGTCCAGCTCGGAAGACGTGGGCCTGTCAGGGTGCGTCCAGAGGAGGGGCACGAACACGGCCTCAGGGCTGGAGCTGCTCCACTGCGAGGGTGGGGGTGGTTGGGCCTTGAGCGGAGAAGGCTCTGGGGAGATGCAGTTGCAGCCTCCCAGCACCTGAAGGGGCTTAGGAGAAAGGTGGAGAAAGACTTTTTACCAGGGCACATAGTGACAGGACAAGGGGCAGTGTTTTTAAACTGAAAGGTGTATATTTAGGTTGGATATAATGACAAAATTCCTCACTGTGAGGGTGGTGTACAGTGGGACAGGTTTCCCAGAGAAGTTGTGGATGCCCCCTCCCTCGAAGTGTCCAAGGTTGGGTGGAGTGGGGCTTTGAGCATCATCTCAAGCATTTGATTGAGCGAAAGATGTCCCTGCCCACGGCAGGGGTTGGACCAGATGATCTTCAAAGGTCCCTGCTGACCCAAACCACTCAGTGATCCTGTGATAAAGTGTGTGGACAGAGGAGCATTGTATGTGTCACCCAGAGTGTGTTCTCAAACAAAAATGTATTCTGCGCCTGCTTCAGCTCCAGACGTGCTCCTCAACCCTAGCTATGAGCAGTTTGGGAGAAGACCCATAACTGTTCTCGAATTCTACTGACCTCAGTCAGTGTTGAGACATCTTCTCTCAGCATTTTTGCCCAGTAAGCCACTAACAGTTTTAGAAATAGTCTTATTAAAACATTTCTCAGGGGGGAAAAAAAAAAGGAGGAGGAATTTCAAGTCGCAGAATAGCCAGTCATTCAGTATTTAGTAAGCAAGTACAATTTTGATAGAATTCTTGAGAATTGAAATTCAGTTTCTTCTTTGGACAAAGTCACTGCCCATGACTACAGAATGCCCTCTTTCACACAGTTTCTGGTCAGAGGTGGATGGAACACCTCTCATGAGAGCCTGCTGATCAGAAATCATTCCCCCTGTAGTTAAGGTAGGGCTTACAGACAAAGTACCAAGCAAAGTGTGTTAAAATATTGCCTGATGCAATACAGTTTTCTGCTTTACGTTGGGTTTACTGGCTCAGTAAAGCGTCCAGATCTGCCTTAGCTTTCTCTTACGGTATATGTTCCTGAAACTACAGAAAATAGTTCTAAGTCTACTAATCTTAGAAGTACTTTTTATCTCACCCTTGGAACAGGAGGTGACTTCAGCAGATGA